GTCTCTAAATAAAATAATCGTTTGTGTTGTTTATCCATAGAATTGACTTTCTTAAAATCTGCAATCTTTGTTAATGAAATACTAACATTAAATATTACACATTTAACTACAAATACTACTTTATAATTAGTTAATGTTAATTGTCCATTCATTGGTCCTTTAAAATTAATTACATCATTCCTATTCATTAAACTAACTGGATATCCTATTATAATTTGTTCTTCTGGACATCCTTTAACTAATTGAATCATTGATGCTCTTGGTGTAAATTTTTGTCGTGGAGAAATAATAGGACTTGTTGGTGATTTACATTCTACCACTTCAATATTTAATTTTTTTTCTTGTTTTGGTTGGGGTGATTTAGAAATAGATAACTCCTTAATAGAAATTAGAGAAGGTTGTCCTTTCTGTCCAAATGAAGAATTTTTAGTTGTTGGTGTTTGTGTTGGAGTTTTTGTAACTATTTTTTCCTTAGTCATGTCTTCATGTTGTATATTTTCGTGAATAGACCCTTTTTCATTACAGATATTTCGTTTTTTTTCTTCTTTTTCTTGACTGTCATTAATCGTTTTGTCTTTTGGTTGTGAGTTGTCATTTGAAAAAGACTCATTTTCTGAGCCAATTGATATCTCACTACTCGGAGAATCTTCAGTATCAACACCTTTATCATCACAAGGAGTGTGAATTATATCACTACTTTCCATGAAAAATGTTTTTGATAGATTTAAATGAAGGAAAAAAGGAATAACTTCATTAAAGAATAAGAAAATGGTCTTTTTAATTCATAAAAGACATTAAGGAAAATGAAAATATAAAGAAAGAAATTCCACTCACAAAACACCTTGTCATTTAATAAAGTTCTTCGAATTTAAGTGGAGCAACAGTGGTAAATTTGATATCAGCACCTTTAATAAGTTCAGCTGGTCTTGGTTGTTTTGGAAGTCTCTTAGCTGGTAATGGAAGAAGTGGTTTTCCTTCTTTCTTTAATTGAATGTTTTGCTTTCTAATGGCAGCAACAGCAGCTTTTCTTTCAAGGAAGTCTTTTTGGCATCCAGATGGTTTGATGTGTTCTGGACTAATGTGAAGTCTTTTAACTACAATTCTGTTATTGACTTTCTTATTTACCATAACTCCAATGGCATGTGGATTAACATTCCAAACACGTCCAGTCTTTCCATGGAAAGCTTTGTATGGAAGACCGTGTTGAATAGATGAGTTACAGAGGATTGTTACATAATCACCAACTTTGTATGTGTGAAGAATGGTTGAAGTGTTTGAGAGTCCATGTCCTCTGAATGGTCTCTTAAATAATTTTCTGGTTCTTCTGTTTCTTCCGTTAGACAAAGGCATGGTCTGTTATTTTAGGGTTAAAAATCTTAGTTGAGTTCCTTCTAATATTTTTTCTAATTCTCTTTTAATACTTTTATTATTTTTCTTTTTTATAATTTATAGTTATATAAAACAAATTAAAAAAAAAACAAGAAAAAATAAAAATAAATAAATCATAAAGGTGAATTTTTCATATGTCAGGAATTTGAGTTCAAACTTTTAAATCAATAATTAATAATAAGAAATGAGTAGTCATAATCAATCTCCTGGTGTAGACCAATCACTTGTAACAAATATTAGAAAGCAAAAGCAAATGCAACATAATAATTCAGTTAAACAATTAAGTGAAGGTATTTTGTTAGAGCTAAGGAAAAAAAGTGGAGAGAAAACTCCTAGGACTAGAAGAAGAACTTTGGCTGTTGATAAAAAGAGTATTACGTCTGAAAATGACCAAACTGAAAGTGAAGAAGATATAATTCAAAATATTTCCAAGGAAATTGATGCTCTTCAAAACGAAATTAAGGTAGCACGAGATAAGTGCTTAAAGATAATGGAAAGTCAACAACAATTTAAGGTCCTCATTGATTCTTTAAGTAATCAAAGAAAACTTGTTTTAGACATGAAAGAAAATTTAAGAGATATTACCATTCGTGATGTTGGGTCTAGGAGTGATGTTGAAGAATGTAGCGAGTTTATGGGTGAATTATATCTCAAATGCTTTGACCAATTTAATGAACAAATTAGAAGTACCGAAGGATTTTATGAAACGATAAAAAAGTATATTGATTCGTGTAGTAATTTTACTCGAGCAAGAAATGATTTTGATAAATTAATTTCAAGTTATGTGACTGTAGATATGAAACTTCAAAAGATGAATAAAGAAAAACGACCAGATATTAATAAAGTAGGACAATTACAACAACAAAAAGAAGAGACTTTTAATTCTATTAAGAATGAAGGAGAAAAAGTTACTGATTTTTACGTTGATTTATATAATGAGTTTTTGACTATTATGCTCCATACTTCTGTTGATTTAAGTGATAAAGTATCAAAGGGATTAACTAGTACCAAAAGAATGTTTAAGGATAAAGGAGAAAAATTAAATTTATGGAAGACTTTAAATATTGGAGAAGCAGTCAAAAATACAGATGTTGAATATCCACAATGGATGGATGATGATCCATTATTTATTAATATTTTTGAAGCTGAGAATCATTTAGTTGAAAAGATGGAATATTGTGTTGTTAAATATGCTAAATCTTTGTTGTGTAATCCAACATTAGCAACAACAGGAATGAGTATGGCTGATGTTAATCTTATTTTTACTGAGATTGAGTCTATTCATTCATTACATCATTCAATTTTTACAGAACTGAAGAATTCAAATATAGACTCCTTTATTGATGCATTTGCTAAACGTGCAAGTCAATTATATGATGTTTATAAAAGAAGATGTGCTCATTTTAAGGACTCTATGAAGAAGTATAATAAATGTCTTCAAATCGATGCATTTAAAGATGCTATTGAATCTATTGATAATTCTAATTTAAGCCAACCAAGGTTAGAAGAACTCCTTCACTTACCATTCATCCACTTAACTCAATTAGTTCCATTATTTAATAGTCTCAAAGATGATTTTTCTGATGAAACAGATAAAACAGAGAAATTAGAAGAATTATGTTTTATCTTTACGTCATTAAGTCTTTTATCTGAACAAGCAGAAAAAGAGAACGATGTTGAGACTCAATTAAGTAAGATTCATGGATTAAAAGGTATTTCTTTTAATCCTAAAAGAAAGTATTTAGACCGTCAACAATGTACCTATAACAAAACACAAGGAACAATGTTTTTGTTTAATGACATTTTTATCTTTACAAAACCAGAACGTAATGAATATATATTTGGGTCTGTTATTAATGTTAGTCAAATGGTTTCATTTAGAGTAAAAAATAAGAAGACTGTTGTTTTGGAAATCAAAAATGAAACATGTGACATTGGATTTAAGGATACTCAAACAGCAGAAAAATGTGCAAAATATCTTAATAATATCAAATATGAGATGGATAGAAAAAAGATTTTTGGAACAGAAATTAAGAGTTCAGTCATTGCAAGAGAAGAAGAAAGTACATTAATACCAAATGTAATTCATAAAATTTTCGATAAATTAGAAAAAGAAGCACCAGACACTGAAGGTATTTTTAGAATTAGTGTTAGTGTAAAAGATTTAGAAGAAACAATGACCAAAATAGATTTAGATGTGAATGTTGATGTAAGTAAAATGTCTTGTCATTTATTAGGTAATGTATTAAAGAAATATTTAAATTTAATGCCAAACAAATTACCTATTAGTCTTCAAACAGTAGATGTAGATAATATTAAAGCTATTCAAGATATGTTAGAACCAGTAGGTAAAAGTTACTTATTATTAATGGAACGATTATTTAGGTTACTTAAAATGATTGATAAAAATAGTGGTGTTAATAAAATGACAGCAGATAATTTAGCTAAAGTTATTTGTCCTAACATTTATGAAGAAGACGAGGACTTTGGTATGAACATTGAAAAGTTAACTCGAACTGCCATTGTAATGATCCAACGATATGATGAAATTTTTGGTGAGTTTAGGTCATCTTTTGAGAAAAAGATTCAAGATGGAATGCAAGAAATTAACCACCAAAAAGAATTGGAAGCTAAAATACAAAGTGA